AGAGCCATTGTTGGGGGGGCAGAATAACACCCCCCCCCCCCCCCCCCCCCCCCCCCCCCCCCGTGGGGCAGGCACTAGTAGTTTCAAGCTGGAAGCCACTGGAAAGAAGGTAAAACGGCATCTTCCCCCTTAAAAGTATCAGCAGAATTACAAACTTTGAAGTGCTTGTTTACTGCTGAATTCCTAGATCCTAGAAATACCCTTGGACATATTCAACTCTTAATATGGGCTTATTGAGTGAGTATAAATGAATGAATGAAGATATGCCAGCCCAGACAAAGAAGGGGGTAATTGTTAGGGAAAGTTTTAGGTGTAGAGGAGAAAAAAGGGTGAAGGCCCTGAGCCAGAGAGAATGTCGTTTAATGACTACCCTGAAGTTGGGCCTGAGAGTGGATGGTGGCAGATTATGTACAACATCATGAAAAGCTGAAAGTAACAATGGGTGTTACTCTCAGGGTTAGGCTAAAACACCATGGCCAGGCAACTTAGAAGAAGGGATTTATTTGAGCCTGTGGTTCTCAACTTGTGGGTTACAACCACTTTGGCAAAACTCTCCAAAAGTAATTTACATTACAATTCGTAACAGTAGCAAAATTACAGTTATGAAGTCGCAACAAAAATAATTTTATGGTTGGGGTCACCACAACACCAGGAACTGTACTAAAGGGTTGCAGTGTTAGGAAGGTTGAGAACCACTGCCTGGAGGGGACAAGCTCACCATCATGAGATCGCATCAGGCGAGGCAGCTGGAGCAGCAAGAAGAGGGTTCACATCTTGACCACAAGCAGGGAGAGAGCACATGAGAAGGGGTGAGAGCTTTGAAAAGTCAAAGCCCATCCCAGCGACACACTTCCTCCAGCAAAGCCACACCTCCTAAACCTCCCAACAGCACCATCAACTGGGGACAAAGTATTCAAATGCCTGAGACCATGGGGGACATCTCTGTCACTACCACAACAGTAATCCATCAAAAGGTTTTAATACTTAAAATTTTGTTCCTAGGGATAAGGGTACTTTTTTTTTTTTATATAATCTCATCCACATCTTTCATAACCAGGAAGCTGTCTGACTTCATTTAATCTGTCCAGCTTAAGTTTTGCTGATACTCCAATTCTGACATTTACAGGTCCCGGGTCTGACTTCCACAGTGCATTGCTTCAGTTACTAATGCTTCTGTTATGTCCTTCAGTCTGAACAGTTCTCCTTTTGTCTTTGGAATATTGGCTTTCATTTCCTTTTATAATTACTAGGAATCAAATGCTAGGCTAGGAACCAGAGAGATGGCTCAGCGGTTAAGAGCACTTGACTGTTCTCCCGGACATCCTGGGTTCAATTCTCAGCAGCCACATAGTGGCTCACAACCATCTATAATGGGATCAGATTCTTTCTTGTGGTGTGCATGAAGATAGCACTCATAGACATAAATTACATGAGTAAATACATCTTTTAAAAAATGCTAGGTCAGTGGATTACATCCTGCCCCTGGCCTTGGCATTTTTGAAGAACTCAGTTACTTTGCAGAATGTTCCTTGATAAGGATAAGTTACTCCCCACCCTCTTTCTCTCCCCCCCTTCTCTCCCTCCCCCTCCTCTTCCCCCCACCTTCATTTGGGGACAAGGTTTCTCTTTGTAGCCCTGGCTGTCCTGGAACTCACTGTATAGACCAGGCTTGTCTTGAACTCACAGAAATCCTGAGTGCTGTGATTTAAGGTGTGTGTCACCATTTCTTTCCCCCCTTGGTAAGGTTTTGTGTCAGATTTCCTTGTGGACGTTTGTGCGCAGGTGAACCAGCAATGCTTTTAGGGCATATTAGACATTTGGTGCCATGTGACAGTTTGGGTTTCTATCATTTGGTTAAGATACTGTTTGCCAGGTTCCCTGACTGTACAGTTAGTATGTTGTACTCTTTAATAAGTGCTTGTAGAGATACTGCATCAAGCTTTATTACTATTGTTTTATTGTGGCCTCAAACTCTCTGATCCTCCTGCCTCTGCCTCCCCAGTGCTAAGGTTACAGCTGTGCACCACTGCCTGCACCTTATATAAAGCTAGGGTTGAGTCCAGGGATTGGTGCAGACAAAGCTTTGATTATTAGTCAACCTTGCATGCCATTCTTCTGGTTCCACCTTCCTTACTCATTTTTCTTTTCTTTATAACATTTATTTTTTTTTTATTTTATGCACATGAATGTTTTGCCTGCATGTATGTCTGTGTACCACATTCATGCCTTGTGCCCATGGAGATCAGAAGAGGGCACTCGCTGCCCTGGAACTGGAGTTGAAGTTGTGTGCTACCGTGTGGGTGCTGAATCAAACCCAAGTCCCCTGGAAGAGCAGTCAACACTCTTCACGGCTAAGCCATCTCCCTGGACCTCGCCTTTGTATTTTGAGACAGTTTCTCATTGGCCTAAAGCTTGTAGAGTAGGCGAGGCTGGACAGAGAGCTGCAGGGACCCTATGCTGAGGTTACAAGTAAGGGATCGAACTCTCGAGGTGTTTGCATTGGAAGCACTTTACCGACTGAGCCACCTCCCCAGTTCCTTGTTTTATTTCTCTACTTGACTATTAGGAGCTCCTTAAACTAGTTTTTTTTTTTTTTTTTTTTTTTTTTTTTTTTTTTTTTGTTGTTGTTTTTCATGTCTTTGTCACTTTCTGGCTTGAGTCTTTTGTTTTCCCACTGCATCCATTTCTCTTAAGGAGCACTGCTGCCTCCTGTTAGTGCAGGACATTATTTATCTGGGCACTAAGTGTGCTTCTTGTTCTTGGGAGGTGTCATTGCTCCCAGATCCTCCCAGCATATTATTTAGGAAATGTATAACATATAATTATACTTGTTCTTGTTTATCTCTATGGTGTTAAAAAAATGAGTTCACATAGATGCTTCCAGTCCAGTCTAGAATTACAGTTTGTTCCAGCCCTGCCCCTTCCACTATTTAGGATTCTTACCTTTCTCTGACAGTGAGATAACTGGCTCCTAGTAGCTTCTGTGTGTATTTACATAATGGCTCAGTTCCTTCAGTTTGCAGCCAGACTTATTGCCATGCCAGTCAGTCATGTTGCTTTCTGTCTCTCTTGCCTGCCCTCTTGAAATCTCCCCTCAGAAGTAATCATTGGAAAGTTAGTCGTGGTGGAGGTGGTTGTGTACACAGGAAAATGTGAGGTAGGAGGCCACTCAGAAAGCATAACTTTGGCCCCTTCTCCATCCTCCATCCATCCATGCTGGCTGCAGGTTCACCCTGAGCAGTGACTTGGGCGTAGGTCAGTTTGCTTCTTTGTGTGAGATGTTGGCTGCTGTGTGGAACACAGACTGCAGAGAATGAGAGAGAAGGCATTTGGATCGGCGTGCCTGCAATGGATGTTTTTGTGAGCTTTTCGGAGCCTCGCATGTTTAGTAATGGACTTACCAAAATGTCTGAAAGCCAGTACATCTGTTGTTGATCAGCTGACCAGGTATGTAAACTTGTCCAGTGGACATAGACATAGTCACCTTTTTAAAATTTTGAGACAGGCTCTTACAGTGTAAATATGACTATTCTGCAACTTGCCCCCATCAACTTCAATTTTTTACAAAATGACTCAATTAAAAAAAGCCAAACAAAGCCAAACATTATTATAGTCTTAATAAAGTATTTCAAGAAATACAAGGTTGTCAGGTGGCGGTGGCGGTGGCAGCCGGTGCACATGCCTTTAATCCCAGCACTCAAGAGGCAGACAGAGGCAGGCGGATTTCTGTGAACTTAAGGCCAGCCTGGTGTAAATGGTGAGTTCTAGGACAGCCAGGGCTACACAGAGAAACCCTGTCTTGAAAAACTGGAAAAAAGAAATGCAAAGTTTTCAAATAGGCATTTATTTACTTTTACCCAGATGAATATTTGTCTATGGTGATGAGTGCATGGTTTAATTGTTAAAGGACTGTGCTTAGTAACCGTAAAACAAATGGTTACATTGGATTTGTGGGTCACTGTAGTTGGGGACAAATAGTGTCTTAGTATTGTATTGCTGTGAAGAGACACTGTGACCATGGCAGCTCTTATAAAAGAAAACATTTAATGGGGCTGGCTTACAGTTCAGAGGGTTAGTCGGGAAGCATGGCAGCAAGCAGGCAATAACATAGTGCTGGTGAGCTGGCTGACTGAGAGTTCTACAGCAGAGCCACAGGCAGCAGCAAGAGAGACACCCCAAAGCCCACCGCCAGTGACACATTTCCTCCAACAAGCCACACCTCCTAATCCCGCTCAAGTAGTGCCACCCTTTAATGACAAAGCATTCAAACCTGTGAGCCAGTTGGGGGGGGGGCATTTTCATTCAAACCACCACTGTAAGGATAACTCCGCCAGCCACCTGAGCCCAAAAGAACACACAGAGACTTATATTAGGTACAATGCTGCTGGCCAATGACTAGAATTTCTTATATGCTAGCTCAGCCTTAATTATCAACCATAACTACTAATCTATATATTTTATAAGGATTTATCTTATCGTGGATACTGGCCCTATGCATCCTGTCTTCCTGGCGATCACATGGAGATTCAGTCTATACTACCTTTCCCAGAATCCTCCTTGACTCCTAGCCCTACCTTTCCTATTGTCCAACAGTGCTTAATAAGACCAATAAGACAAACATACACAGAAGGACTTCCCCCATCACACCACAGATAGTTTTGGTGTATTTTTTTAAAAAAAGTTTATTATTTTATGTGTCTGGGTGTACTGCCTACATGTATGTGCACTATATGCATGCCTGCCTGGTGCCCACAGAGGCCAGAAGAGGATGTCAGAGTTCAGAAATCTCCTGGAACTAGAGTGGTTGTTAGCCTCCATGTGTGTTGTGTTGGGTTGAACTCAGGTCCTCTGGAAGAGCAGCCAGTGCTCTTAACTGCTGAGCCATCTCTCCAGCCCCTATATATGTAAATCATCTGGGCTTATATAAATTAATGTTTTTTTACTCTAATAATTAATCTTTGTTTTTTGTTTTTTGTTTTTTGTTTTTTTTTTTTTTTTAGATATTATGATCAGATTTGTTCCATTGAACCCAAGTTCCCATTTTCTGAAAATCAGGTAAGCCATTATTTTATTATAAAGTTGTGTGGTAATGGCGGGTCACATTAAAGTCAATGATGTGTCTTTACTATGTTTAGGCTTCTGTGGAGTTTTATGTAAATTAGGACTTCTGAGGTCTGTCTGATGTGAATTTTTGTTCTTCTGAAGATTCTCCTGAATTCTTTTCATGTCTTCCTCAGTCCAGAGTGTTAATCTGTATTTTATACCAATGGGATTTGTTTATAGATGGAAATCTACTGTTTTCCCCCGGGCTTTATTTTTTTAATTTTTTTTTTTTGTTTTTTAGGGGGTGGAAGGTTGAGACAGGTTCTTTTTACATAGCCCTGGCTGTCCTGGAACTTACTATGTAAATCAGACTGACCTTGAACTCAAAGAGATCCACCTGCCTCTGCCTCCTGAGTGCTGGAATTAAAGACATGTGCCATCATGCTCAGTTCTCCTTGGTGTTTACAAAATTGAGAAGGAAATTATTAACTCAGGAAGTTATCTGTTTAGTGCTTCCAAAATTATTGGTACAAAATATACTTGTATTTTTTAAGATACAGGAATGTCAGCCTTTCTTTATCTTAAAGGATAGTTGTTGAAAATGCTCATAGTTTCTTATGGACGCAATCAAAGTCTTTAAAATATGTAGTACTTCTAATCTTAAAATGGTAGAAAACAAGTACTTTGTGGGCCTGAAGAGATGGTTGAGCCACTAAGAGTGTGTACTACTCTTGCATAGGTTCCCAACCATTATAAATCCACTTTTGGGGGTCTAATACTCTTTCCTGGACTCTGTGGGCCCTCCTTCTATTCTCCTCTCCGCCACAGACATGAAAATAAAATTACTTTTAAAAAGCACTTTATACATTTTTTTCCCCCGAGACAGGTTTTTCTGTGTGTAGCTCTGGCTGTCCTGGAAATCGCTTTGTAGACCAACCTGCCTCTGCCTCCTGAGAGCTGTGTGAGTGTTGCACCAGGCAGGCCCAACATCGTCATTTTTAAAAAAAAATTATTTATTTTTATTTTATGTGCATTATGTTTTACCTGCATGTATGTCTGCATGAGGGCATCCAGTCTCCAGGAACTGGAGTTACAGACAGTGGTGAACTGCCATGTGGGTGCTGGGAATTGAACCCGGCCCCTTTGGAAGGGTAGCCAGTGCTATTAACCACTGAGACATCTCCCCAGCCCCAAACATAGTCATCTTAATAAAGTATTTTAGGAAATACAACGTTGTTGGGTTGTGGTAGCACAAGCCTTTAATCCCAGCACTCAAGAGGCAGAGAGGCAGGCGGATTTCTGTGAGTTCAAGGCCAGCCTGGTCTATAGAGTGAGTTCCAGGGCTACACAGAGAAACCTTGTCTAGAAAAACAAAAACAACAGAAAGAACTAGGGAGAGATGTAGATCCCTGTGTAGTGTCGTGTCGTGTGTGGCCCCTCCCCTGTGCCATCAGGCATTCTACCACCATATTACGCCCCTCCCCCTGCCTTTTATTTTGAGACAGGGCCTCACTAAGTTGTTGAGGCTGGCCTTGAACTTGTGATCCTCTTGCCTCGGCCTCCTGAGTAGTTGGGATTACATGCCTGTACCACCAGGTCCAGCTAATTTTTCTACTAGGTGAAATTTTTGTTCATCTATAATCACCTGTAGCTTGAATTTTTATAAAGGAAATGTGTTGTGTAACTACCACTCAGATCAAGAAATAAGATATTACCTCACTACATTCTCCCTCAAAAGCCATTCTCTTATGCCTTAAAAAATTATTTTATTAGTGTAAAATTTAATGCGAAGCTTCACAGATTCCATTTTGAATGCCACCTCTAACTGTATATAAATTCATTAAGTTGTATAGTGGAGTCTGGTTAATTTTTGATGTGTGATATTTTTATTCCTGTATTTTTTAAAGTAGTAGAGCAAAAGCAAAAAAGAAAAAAAGTTATGCAAGATATGGCGTCACATATCCAAACACCTAGGCGACAGAGACAGACAGACAAATTTCTATGAGCTCAAGAGTAGCCTAGTCTAGGCTATATAGTGAAACCTTGTCTCAGAAAAAAAAAAAAAAAAGACCATTTATTATTATGTATGTGGTGTGAGTGTGTGAGTGTGAGTGAGTGTTATGTGGTGTGAGTGTGTGTGAGTGTGTGAGTGTGAGTGAGTGTTATGTGGTGTGAGTGTGTGTGTGAGTATGAGTGTTATGTGGTGTGAGTGTGTGAGTGTGTGTGAGTGTGTATGTGGGGTGTGTGAGTGTGTATGTGGTGTAAGTGTGTGAGTGAGTGTGTGAGTGTGTATGTGGGGTGTGTGTGAGTGTGTATGTGGTGTGTGTGTGTGAGTGTGAGTGTGTATGTGGGGTGTGTGTGAGTGTGTGTGTGTGGTGTAAGTGTGTGAGTGTGTGTGTGTGAGTGTGTGAGTGAGTGCGTGAGTGTGTGTGTGAGTGTGAGTGTTATGTGGTGTGAGTGTGTGAGTGTGTGTGAGTGTTATGTGGTGTGAGTGTGTGAGTGTGTGTGAGTGTGTATGTGGGGTGAGTGTGTGAGTGTGTGTGAGTGTTATGTGGTGTGAGTGTGTGAGTGTGTATGTGGTGTGAGTGTGTGAATGAGTGCGTGAGTATGTGTGTGTGAGTGTGTGTGTGAGTGTGTGAGTGATGGTCTGAGACGCATGTGCAGGTCAGAGGAAACTCTAGGAGTTGGTTTCTGGGATTGAACTCAGCCTGTAAGGATTGTGGGTCAAGTCTTTTACCTGCTGAGCCATCTCACCGGCTCATTTTTCCTACTTTGTAACAGGCTTTTCAGTTTGTGATTTATTTACTTTGCCTCTCTTTGTTTGTAAAGCCACATAGAATGATGTTTTGAAATATCTTAATGCTAGTAGTATTTTATGTGGAAAAAAATGTCCGTAAGAAGGTCAAGGGGTCATTGGCTAGAGGTGACTGTTTATGTGGAAAAAAATGTCCGTAAGAAGGTCAAGGGGTCATTGGCTAGAGGGGACAAAAGCACAGAGAGCTCTGTCCTTCTCCTGGATTTTCTTCAGCATTTAACAAGGTCCAAGGTGGTAATGGGAGCTTTTGTTTCCTCTCATTCATTCTAGATCTGCTTGACATTTACGTGGAAGGATGCTTTTGATAAAGGTTCCCTTTTTGGAGGATCTGTAAAATTGGGTATGTAATTTTTATTGTATTTTATTTATTTATTTATTTATTTTTGGGTATGTAATTTTTAGTGAAAATTATAGACTTGCATTTTTGCTGCTTTGGGATTTTTAAAGTTGTTCTCCTAATGACTTCTTGTGATCACTAAAGTTTAAAAAAAATCTCATGTTTTAACTTCAATTTATAATCCAATGTGATTTCAAAATATTTTCGAGCCCATGCCTTGCCAGGCACTGTCCTAGTTACAAAGATGCATAAGGCAGTTGTGTTCAGTTTTGCTGTGAAGACAGTTAATTCACTGAAATGTACTGTGTATGACTATGTGTAGAATGTACCATGGGATGATGTTTTGGTCCATGAGAGATACTTGTGTAATGGTGGCCACATATGATTGTTGTCTGGTGATATTGTACCCATTTTATTTTGTGTAACTACATGCACAACAACACAGTGCTTACTGGTTCATTTCTCAGAAAATGTTGGAATCGTTGAGGAATGGCTATAAAATCTTATGGGAGTGTAGATGAGCAAGAGGTGAATTCTGCCTGTAGAAAGTAAGCAGCAAGTTAGGTCTTGAAGGATGAGTTTGTACAAACATCAAAACCAAGGTCAGAAGGTGAAGGCATTTTGATCAGACAGAACATGCCTTAATTTCCTCATCTGAAAAATGGAAATATTTACTGAAGTTACTGTGTAGGTTAAAAGAATGAAAACATTTAAAGACTTTAAACAGTGTTCATTAAGAATCAACAGCAATGAATAATAAATAATCATGTTGTTACTATATATAAACTATAGAATATTTGTATACACACATTATTTGATGTCCATATTTTTATAAACATGTTATATGGTGTGTGTATATTTTATGCATTAGATATAGATTATGTAAGTTACAGCAGCCAGGTCGTGGTGGTGCACACCTTTAATCCCAGCACTTGGGAGGCAGTGGCATGCGAATCTCTCAAGGCCAGCCTGGTTTACATGGGAGTTCCAGGACAGCCAGGACTACAGAGAAACCTTGTCTTAGAAACAAAAAAAACAAACAAAAAGATACAGTATATACTGAAATCTTGCAAGGTGTGTGTGTGTGTGTGTGTGTGTGTGTGTGTGTGTGTGTGTGTGTAATATGTACATAGATATACTTAAATAAATATATCTGTATACCTTATGTATAGGTGAGAAAATAGGAATATTGTAAAATATTTGTAATATATGTTGTATGTAAGATGTGATCAATGTAATAATTATTGTTCTGGCTTGAAACCATAGGTTGGATTGGATTTTGGAAAGTGATTGTAAAGGAACATAGATTATGAGGAGGTACAAATGTGCTCTTGAATTTGTACTTTCTCACTCACATATGAATAGCCAATCATTGCTGTTCCTTACTCGGGGCTTCATATGTGTTATGTTTCTGAATTTCCCAGGAACCCAGTAAGAGAAGACGACACTTTCATTGCTAGTTGAGTATATTGGCATGGGAAAGGTCTGTAGCTAGGATTTAAAGGCGCTGAGATAGGAATACAGAGAGCCTGCCTCCAGGACTAGGGAAACAGACCATTTGAGAGGTCTGTGAGAGGCGGTGAGAGTAGCCTAGGTAGTGGGGTCAGAGAAGGGTTGGGCTTTATTTACTGCCTGTCAGAGGGATGAGGAGGAGCTGAGGGTCTGCAGTTTGACCTGTTGCATATTTAGTTTTCATAGTTTTAATTTGGCTTTTCAGTTATCTCTGTGTAAGCATTTCTCTGACATTTGGAAATAGTAGATTTGAAGCTCAGAAGAGAGAGTTCTAGATTTGGTAACAGTTACTCATTGATAAAATTCATTCACCTTTGACAGATTATAGGCAAAAGCAGATAAAAGCCAGAGCTAGGGTGAAGTTGAGAAAAAGCATTTGGGCCGTAGAGGACCAGGAAAAAACATTGACCGTGGAAGTGAATGTTGAAGTGTTCTCAAGGTGATGCTGCCCCGTGGGCCTGGCAACTGGGGACATGTTAGAGATGAATATGCAGTCGAGTGTGCCTGGTGCCACAGAAGGAAATGTCGGGCTGGCCACTTGAGTAACCCATCTGTCTCCAGCTGGCTAGGGATGGTGCAGGCTGAGGCGCTGACAATCAAGTGCAGTTGAAACTGCATAGATTTGATAGGGTCTGGAAGAAGGCAGATAGGGAGGCTGAGGTGCTTGGGGAGTGTGAGGAACTGTAGTCTGCGAGGGTAGCTCTCATGTTGGGAAATTTACAGTAAAGGTTGAGGGTCAAGGTGGGGAAAAGGATTTTAGCACTGTTGTGGCTTAGATGATTGCAGCTCAGAGGGGACAAGGAAAACATGAGTGAGATGGTGGAATAAGAAGCCAAGATCCAGCAAGTGGGAAGCTAAAAGAGTGGAGTGTCGATAACACAGGAGGGAGAGGTGTTTCTGTATTTTGACAAGGTCTTACTAGGTAGCCCTGGCTAGCCTGTGTAGGCCGGCTATGTAGTGAACCTTGTCTCAGAAAAAGGGTGGATTTTAGTGGCAAACATTAGAAATTGAATGTCCTTCAACAGTGTCTTACTGCACACTTGCTAGACTCCGGTGTTGTTTTAGAAGAGTAGGTGAGCACTCTGACATGTATGTGGTTGTAACAATAAATCTTTACTCAAAAGCCACCCGAGCCCTGCATCCACGTGGGCACTTTTCTCCAGGCTGCCCAAGTTCCGTCCGCTGCCACGTTAAGGTCCCAAGTAACATACAGAGACTTATATTAGGTACAAATGCTGCTTGGCCAATGACTAGGATTTCTCATCTGTTAGCTCAGTCCTAATTATCATAAATCTATATATTTTATAAGATTTACCTTATGGGACACCAGCAGAAGCGTCCTGTCTTCTTGGGCTCACGTGGTGACTCTGCAGCAGAGACCAGGAGGAAGAGAAAAGGGAACAACTTCCTTCTTTCCCTTGCTTATATTGAGTGTCTCTGCTATGTCACTTCCTGTCTGGATCTCAAGACTTCTTTACTACATGTCCCAGAATCCTCCTCGACTCCTAGTCCCACCTAACTTGCTGCCTCATTGACCAAACAGTACTTTAACAACCAATAAGATAAAGACATACACAGAAGACCTTCCCCATCATGTGGTGACATGTTAAATTGTGCCCAGGAAATACTGAATTCAGCCTGCATCATACAACTTTAGAGCCCTTTGCTTTGGGCTCCTAGAGACAGTTGGCAAAGAACCTGTTCCAATTCCTTCCTGGAGCTTTTGTTCAGGTAGCCTTAGCAGGTATAGTGACAATTTTCAAAAAGCTGTATGTGAGCATACCTGTAGTTACTTATGGAAAACCAAAAAAACAAAAACCTTGCTTATTTCTAAGAGGTAAGATAGTAGATGATTTACATTTTACTTTCTTCTTAACAGGAGTCTGAATTCCTAAAAGCTTTGTCTGTTGGTCGGTCGGTCTGTCTGTCTGTCTGTCTGTCTGTCTGTTGGTCTGTCTGTCTGTGTGTGGGGGCAGGGTTTTTCCTGTGTGGCCATAGCTGCCCTGGAACTTACTCTGTAGACCCGGCTGGATTTGAACTCTCTGAGATCTGCTTGCCTATTCTGTCTTCCGAGTGCTGTGATTAAAGGTGTGTGCCACCACTGCCTGGCATCTCTTAGAAGTTTAAAAAAATTTTTTTCTTTGATATTCCCCCATCCCTACTCCTTGGATTCTTTATTAGTCAGATGTTGGTTGTTCTGAGTCTTGGCACAACTTTTCTTTACTTTTTAAAAAATGTTATAATCAAGTTTTAAATTTATTTTACTCAAAAGCTTAAAAAACATCCTGTTTGGATTTGTTCATGGCCACCATTCTGTAGCCCCAGAACTTGGGAGGGGGAGGCAGGTTGACCAGTTTTAGCTTGGCCTTGGCCACAAGAGTTCTTGGAAGTCTGGAACCCCTAAAACGACAACTGCAGTAGCTCTGTACTGCTTTAGGCGTGTACAGCCTAAGGGTTCTTTAAGGATGTTGACTCTGACCTTTGACTTGTTGGAATTGTCTTCGTTTATTCTGGGCTCAGCTTTCAGTTACTTTTGTTTTTTGAGATAGTGTCTTATGTAGTCCAGGCTGACCCACACTCCTTGTGTAGCTAGCTAAGGAGGACTCAGAAGCCCTGATTCTCCTGCCTGCATTTCCCCAAATGCTGGGAGTACAGATAACACACACCACCATGTTACCTCCTCACACTGTTTACTGTTTTCATGTTACTTTGTTTTCTTGGTGTTACTTGGAATGCAGATTGGAGTGGTTGGTGTGTCTGCTGAATGAGTGAGGAGATCAGAATGGGTTTGGGAACAAGTAGAGACCTGGCTGCTTTCAGAGAGGCACCAACTACTTCCTGATCCTCCTGTGTGGAGTAGCCAGTGCTGCTCTGGTTCTCTGAGGTGGACTGTGCACTGCTCTGTCTAGGCCACCTTCTGAGTGTTTGGCTTGGTGGCCAGTGTCTGGTAAACTGTATACAAGATGTTGAATTACACTGTGATTGAATTCTAGAAGTAATTGGGAGCTATTGTAGATTGAAAGAAGTATTTTTTTTATTTATTTTTATTTTTTGGCTTTTCAAAACAGGGTTTCTCTGTGTAGCTTTGGAGTCTATCCTGGCACTCTCTCTGGAGACCAGGCTGGCCTCAAACTCACAGAGATCCGCCTGCCTCTGCCTTCTGAGTGCTGGGATTAAAGGCGTGCGCCACCAATGCCCAGCAAAAGAATTATTTTTAATTATGATAAAATATACATGATTGGGGGCTGGAGAGATGGCTCAGAGGTTAAGAGCACTGACTGCTCTTCCAGAGGTACTGAGTTCAATTCCCAGCATCCACATGGTGGCTCACAACCATCCGTTATGAGGTCTGGTGCTCTCTTCTGGTGTGCAGATATACATGGAAGCAGAATGTTTTATACATAATAAATAAATAAATAAATAAATAAATAAATAAATAAATAAATACACATGATCTACCAAGAATCACGGGCAGTGTACAGTTTCAAATGGTGTTAATTATGTTTACTGTCCTGGTTAGGGTTACTAATGCTGTGATGAAACACTATGACCAAAACAACTTATGGAGGAAAGGGTTTATTTCAGCTCACACTTGCAGGTAACAGTCCATCACTGAGGGAAGTCAGGACAGGAACTCAGACAGGACAGGAACCTGGAGGCAGGAGCAGAGGCCATGGATGTGTGCTGCTTACTGGCTTGTTCCTCATGGCCTGCTCAGGACCATCAGCCCAGGGATGGCCCATCCACAATGGGCTGGACCCTCCCCATCAATCACCAATTAAGAAAATGCACTATAGGCTGGCCCATAGGCTCATCTTGTGAAGGCATTTTTCTCAGTTGAGGCCCCTCCTCTCAGATGACTCTAGCTTGTGTCAAGATGACATAGAACTAGTCAGCACCCTGACAGTCTTCGGCAGTCGGTCGGTCATCTTACCATCTGGTTTTAGAGCTCTGTCATCTTACAGAACTGAAATTGTACTCACTAAACAGTCACTTCCCACCTCTCTCTTCCTGTCGGCTTCTGGCAGACATGTTAACCCTCTTGTCTCTGAATCTTACTGTATTACATGTAAGTAGACTTACATGTCTATCTTTTTAAGAAGTTGCAAGAAACACAATGCATGGGATTACCTTTTAGCCATTTTGACAAACATGGTTTTTACTAGTGCGAGGGTACATTCACACTGTAAATATATCTCAAACTTTATTCATTAAACAACAGCCTGTTGGCACCATCTTTGGTATCTGCTGTCTTTGTACTTTTGTCTCTAAGACTTTGATTCCCTTAAGTATTTTCTGTAAGTGGAATCCTAGTCTTTCGTGAGTGCTGATTTCACTTACTGTATGTCCTCAAGGGTTGTCCCTTGGAAGTTGACTAATAAATACTTTATTGACTGTTTACATGTTATTTGTTTCCACCTCTGTTGGTTGATGGTCACTCAGGCTGCTGTTAGAGTGATGCTGCTGTGAACGGAAGTGTGGAAATTCCCCCACCAGATGCTGCATTCAGCTCTTTTGGCATGTACCCAGGAGGGGGATTTCTGGGTCGTCATTTTAAGTTTTTGAGGACCCACACTTTATTTCCTGTAAGCACCTGCAGCATTTTGTATTCCTTCAAATAAAGGTTGCAGTTTATCTCTGTCATTGTCAACATTTGGTCATTTGATTTTAAAAATGGAATAGTTATGTTGATGGATGTGGGTTATGGAGATTCTTCATCAGAGAGAGTTGATCTGGAAGACCATCAAGGAATCACTGGTATGCTTATGTTGAAGTAGGGGCTGGGGGGTGTGTGTGTGTGTGTGTGTGTGTGTGTGTGTGTGTGTGTGTGTGTGTGTGTGTGTGGGGTCTGTGTGTGTGTCTCTGTGTGTGTCTCTGTGTGTGTGTGTGTGTGTATGTGTGTGTGTGCATGTGTGTCTGTGTGTGTCTCTGTGTGTGTCTGTGTGTGTGTATGTGTGTGAGTGTGTGTATGTGTGTGTGCATGTGTGTGTGTGAGTGTGTGTCTCTGTGTGTGTGTGTGTGTGTGTATGTGTGTG